GCTTCAAGGTCGGCAGCTACAAACCGATTACATTTTCTACAATCTCGGCAGAGTAACAAAATTTGTGTGGACTGTAAAAATAAAAATCCACAGTGGGCTTCGGTAACATACGGTGTTTTCACGTTCTCAGAGTGTTCCTGTAAACACCAAGGCTTAGGTGTTCATATCTCATTCGTTCAATCTGTCAACATGGATTCGTGGTCAGATATCCAGATCAAGAAAATGGAATCGGGTAGCAACGACAAGCTCAATGCTTTTTTGGCACAACATGGTATTTTTAAAGAAGCTGATATCGTGTCTAAGTATAACTCTACTGCTGCGAGTATTTAACTTGATCATATGCAAGCTCTCGCTGAGGGCCGTGTATGGAAGAACCTAGCTGTTGTGAAGGAAACTGTCAATGGTGGTTCTGGAGGTAATCAGAAGCAATCGGCAAGTGCTTCTACATCAGGAAATTATCAAGGTAGTAGAATGGGAGGTGTTAAGGTGAAGTCGAGGTCGAGTGAGGACAAGTATACGAGATCCCGATTGGATGTTTCGTCGACGAAAAATGAGACTTTTTTGGCTAGCAAAAAGGCGGATAATAAAACTAGGCCTGAAGGTTTGCTTCCTTCACAACGAAGGAATTATGGGATTGGGAAACTATCTTTAGTAGAGGCATCAGTAGCTCAACCTGCCAAAGATGTTGTCCAATATGGAACCAAGGAGTTTATAAAAAAGGGGTGTTGTGGTAACAAGTCTGGTGAAGGAGTAAGAATTGGGAGAATCAAATTTAATAATTGGTGGAAGGAAGGCCATACAAATGTTCGTAATGGGTACAAAAGTGGATGCTTCACGTTATTCATTGAAAAACCTACCAGAGAAGATCCATTGGAAGAGATTTGTATCTTTATTTTGCACTCACAGTCATGTAATTGATGCCTTCATTCCTAACAAAAGAAATTCGAAAGGGGTTCATTTTGGGTTCATTCGCTTTGCAACAATTGAAGAAACAAGGAAAACGATATCAAAGATGAATGGTGCTCATATCTACGGCAGCAAAATTAGTGTCTCTTTGGCTAAATATAATCCTCGACAGTCTTATTGGAGAAAGTCCTCGACGGTTGTTCAACGTAAGTCTAGGATGGAAGTTGTTTCGAGGAATAAACACTTGAAGTTGAGGGTGTTGTAGACGAAGATAAACTTCGCGTGTTGAGTAACTGTCTTGTGGGGTGGTGCAAGAACTTTATTAAAATCGGTAATCTTGCTAACCAAATGCAAGCCAAAGGACTCGCTGGTTTAACGTTAATGAGAGCTGCTGGAAATGTAGTTCTAATGGTTTTCGAAGACTCCGCTTCGTTGAGTAGTGTGCAGAATAATAAATTAGAAACTCTTGCAGAATGGTTTTCCAAAGTTGAAGCTTGGTCAGAGAGTCTGGTGGTGGCGTGCCGTCGTGTGTGGTTAGTTTGAGAAGAAGTTCCTTTTCACGCTTGGAATTGGGATACTTTCAAAAACATTGCAGTTAAGTGGGGAAAATTATTAGCAATCGACAACAGCTGTGAGTTTCCATCGTCTTTTGATCGAGTAAAAATTCAAATACTCACAAATGCTCAAATGAGAATTGATGAGTTGTTGGAGTTGAAGGTCGGTGCTAATTTCTTTAAAATAATGGTGCTTGAATTGATCCTTCCTTCAAACCAAATTCTTAGGTCCCTGAAGATTGCGATATTTCATTAGAACTTGTTCCTTCAATTGGATCGTAACTGTCCTGGAGCTCTATTCAGAGGCGTTTCTTTTAGTTTTAATGGTTGCAAGTGTTGGTTTTCGGTTCTGTTATGTTCTTTTGCGTTGTTTTTCTTCCTTCTGATTGAGGTGTAATTTAGAAATCGGTTTATTGGCTTTGGGGCTTTTTGGTTGACGATGGGAGATTTTTAGGTGATATGGGTTTTTGTAATGGTTTATATTCCCATATGTGGGTATTCGGTGTTTTCACAAGTACTGGGTGTTCTATTTAATAAATTATGAGGCACTCTTTTCTTCCTTCCAATGTTCTTCAACATACTTCTTAGTATGTAGAAGAATACGAAGAGAGTTTTTAATGAGACCTCTAACTTTTATCAAAAAAAAAAAATGATTGGTTTCTCATTTGTAGGTACTTTATATGTTTCAGAAATAATTTACTGGTGGTGTTTGTTTGCTTTTGTTTGTGTGATTTGATTTATTGTGGAACCATCTATCAAAGTTTCATTGACCTATCTCGGCCGAGTAAAAATAGATCTATTTAGGCTTAGTCAAATTCACCATCTTATAGGTGAGAACATGCCCTTTATCATTTACCTTGTGAGGCCTATTGGTGGTCTTTTATACTTTTTCATAATTTATCAAACTTGGGTAACATCGGTGAAAGATTTGAGACATTTACTTAAAGATGGCTTACTTTACTGTGGCCATGATTATAATTAGCTTGTACTCAAATTAAATTAATGTCTTAGTTTTTGTTGTTTGTGTTTGACTTTTCAAATCTCATCACAGAGTTGGAAGAAATTATTATAAAGATTTGCTTTGAGTTTTCTTTCCTCTCTTAACTTATTTCAGTGTAAGATAGTGAAAATTTTTCTTTGACATGAACCTGTTTCCAACACTATGTTTGGAATCAAAAGTAGTGAAGGAATAGAAAGAAAAGGAAACGAGGGGAAGGCCAAGGAAAGGAAAGGATTATGTATTATCTTGTTTGGATGGTCAAAATTAGTGAAGAAAAGGAAAGGAAAGTAAAGATTCAGATTTTTCTGTTCTGCCTAGTCTCTCTATAGCATACTTGCTGTTCTAGAGTACAATAATTCTGGCATGACTATCTCTAACATTATTGTATTATGTGCTCAAACAAGGACCAGTAGTGGTGGTGTTCTACTTGAAGTTTCTGGTTCTGGAAATGCAAGAGAATATACTTGAAATCATTTGCTGTTGTCTATCAAATTCATTAGCTGTTACCTTGTCATTGTCAATCACTCAATCTCATGCATATCACTGTTCCTTTAGAATGTAGAACCTCTTTTCTATATATTTTTCAGCTTCAAAAAGTAATTGTATTTTTAGAATACAAATGTGATACTACTGAGTGGCCTTTATTTTCTTGCTTGAGATCGATTGAATTTGTGATTAATGAATGGATTTTTAAGTGTTGATAATACACCTGTTTTATGATTTTCGTAGGTACTCCATGACCAAGGCTTTTTGCTTAGCATTTGTCATGACTTTCTTTTCAGTATTTGATGTTCCTGTCTTTTGGCCTATATTGCATTGTTACTGGATTGTTCTCTTCCTCCTTACGATGAGGCGTCAGATTGCACACATGATCAAATACAAGTACATTCCATTCAGCTTTGGAAAGCAGGTCAGCTTCAATGAGAGGAAAAAAAAAACTTATAAATGCAGCCATATCAGCAAGCTCCTTTTGCTTGTACTTTTAATTTCTAATGGCAACTGTAAGTCTCCAATATATCTCTGCTTGTAAGCTAACAGCATTTTCTTCTATTTGGACAGAAATACACTGGTAAGAAAGCTTCCACTAGTAGCAATGGCTCCCGTGGGGATTGACGTTTGGCTGTTAATAGGGCAAGTAAATGACCTGGTAGAAAATTGAAAAGTTGAATTCCGATGATAACTGATTTTCACCTCTATTGTTTGATGCATTTCTGTTATGGATCTTTCTATATGCAGTGGATATGAATACAAGTTATCCATGCGAAGAAGTGGCGGTACCCGTTACCAAAACATCATTGTTTATACTCATGGTGTTGAAGAATTTGTTCAAAATTTTTTGTACAACAGATATGCTTTCCCTCCAATGTTAAATTTTACTAGCAGCTAATTATTAGTGACGAAAGACCATATTTCTTATGAGGAGCCATCGCCGGAATATGCTAGGCCTTTTTTGGGTGTACTCTTATGGTTAATTACGATGAATACATTTTCTAATGATTCCTGTTATTATTTTTAAAAGATTACTACAATGTTTTTTTAAGTGAACAAAATATAACACAAATTTACAATGTTAATCAACCAAGTTCCACACCCTAAAATCCAAGTCCTAGGATGGTTAACTACACTTGGAGTGAACTTTTACCTTGATGTTATTTTTTTTTTTGGATTAAATTGAGATAAGTATAAGGTAATATCTGTTTGAAGGTAACTCTAAATCATTTAATAGTAAACGATCACACTCCTAGTATTCATGGTGTTCGAACTCAAAATCTCCAAGAAAAAGAACAATTCATTTACCAATGAGGTCACTTGATTCGTGTTACCTTGATATTGTTAGCTTCTTTAATGGCGGGGATGATATTGTCTTGATCAAATAATTGAGCGTGATTCACGGTTGATATCACCATGTCCACCTGTTTTATCACCTTCACCAAGCTTTCATGATCTCCACACACATTTTATTTTATACTATTCATTTTTAAAGTCGATTTTATTCTTATTAATATTATAAATTAAATTCACATTTTAAATTATACAATTTAATAAAAAAAATTAATTAAAATATAAATAATTTATATATTTTATTTTAAATAAAAATATTGTTAATTAAACCAAAAACATTCAATTTAAGACTATATATATAATCATCAAATTATAAATATGAATAAAGAAATTTCAAAATTTAGTTTAAGAATATACAAATTCTTAAATTCATTTTTTCTTTTAATATTGTATAAGCATTCAAGGTCGGCTTATTGACAAGTGGGGATAGACATCTCAGTTTTGATCCAGGTGACAATTGGGGGTACAAATCCCGTGAATCTACAAACGACGTATATGGATAGCACCATCGCTCCCATTCGGTTGCGTGACTTCATGGTTCCTGGTTAGGCTCGATGGAAATCTAATCTAGTTCGACAAGTCTTCACTCCTGCTGATGCTACTATCACCCTCAATTCTCCGATTGCTCACATCACTTCCGATGTTATGACATGGTCTGGGCACTCATCGGGTGCTTACTCAGTTAGATCAGGATATTCATGGCTGTCCAGGCAACATCGTCCTCAGCTACAAGCGTCTCGATTGTAGTTATCTCTCTCTCGCCTCTCAACGTTACCTCGTGTGCGATTGTTTGGTTGGAGAGCAGCACACCAGGCTTTGCCGGTCGGTCGTCGCCTTTATCTGGCAGGAATTTCAGATGGTCACTGCAGTCTTTGTGGTGCGATGGAGGTATCGATGCTACATGCATTATGGGACCGTCCGGAGGTCCTTACAATCTTCTCTATGGCGGGATTTCCATCTTAAGTGACTAACCGTATTTTTCTATCTTGTGGTGCATGGTTGAAATCTCTTTTGGGACTACAGGATATCCCGACCTTTACCTCCCCCGTGGTGCTTCTCTCCCAAATATGGTATAGACGCAACCTTCACGTTCACGACGGTTGTATTCTGCCGGGGTAACACTTGGTTGCCTCAAGTAGAGCCATGCAGGTAGCGTATAATCGCGCGAATTCTCCCTCTACGGTAGTCGGGTCTCTTACTACATCCCCTGACCATTCTTGTAGATGGTTAAAACCACCAATGGGCTATGTTAAACTGAATGTTGATGGAGCTTGTCCACTTGATACTAGTTCTTTGGCAGTGATGGCTATTCTGCGGGATTCCAATGGGTTTCTGTTGGCAGGCCGGGCTAGTTGTATCGAAGGTCCTCACGATGCTGGGTATGTGGAAGCACAGGCCATTTGTTTTGGTTTTCGATTCGCAGTGGAGTTGGGTTATTCTCAGGTTTTGGTTGAAAGTGATGTATTTAATTTGGTTAAACAATTATTGTACCATAACTCTGAGTTGTGGATTCCAACCCTGCTTACAGCATTCGATCCATCTGCCGCTCGGCTAATGGAGCAACATACATGTTGGCCAACCTTGCGTCTTCATCCTCATCGACAATGTTTTTTTTACATATTATCCTTTATGTCTATCTGATACTATTGTAAATGATGTTATCTTCAATTAATGCAGTTGGCTACTCTTTTTTTCTTTTTTAGAATTAAAAGAGGGTTTTAACAATATATATATGAAATCTAGTATAAGCTATTAACGAAATGTAAGATTTGCTCAAGTAGTTTGGCGCTATCAAATTTTGTATTTGACCATGGTTCGAATCACACCATACCATTTTCCCCTTTTTTACTGGTTAGGGTGTACATTAAAGGGGTATGCAAAAAAATCCGATCCGTTTTTCAATTTTCGGATAGTTCGGATCGGGTATCCGAATTTTTTTCCGAATTATTGGATCGGATACGGATCGATAAAACCCATGTTCGAATTATCCGAAAACCCCAAAAAAAAATGGGCTATATTCGACCCATTGTTTATGTACTCCACCTTAGCGCATTTATGTACTCCACGCCGACCCAAGGCTGTTTGTACAGTCATTTCCCTGTTTTTCGTCGTCCTCTTCATCTCGTTATCTATCTTAGAATTTTTCGACGCCCTTCAAAGCATTTCTCTTTCAAGATTTTAGTTGTTGCTACTAACAATTTTCACCATTATCAAAAGCTCGGTGAAGGTGATTTTGGATATGTCTATAGGGTAAGATCTAACCACTGAAACTCTTGTTTGGTTGCCTAGAAAATGGAGGGATAACTTTTGCTTAACTTGGTTTGCCCTTTGATTTGTTGAATAGTTATAGATTCTTTAAATGACGATTTTTTCTACTACTTTTTAGGTATTCAAAGTTTCAACTTTTGCATATAAAAAACATGATGAACAATAAATACTGCAAATGCCTCCATTTCTCCCTTGAGATTTGTCTAATCTCATATGCTAAGAACAAGAGTCAATGCACGAAAATTTGAAATCAAAATGGCACAAGAAACTCGATAATTTTGTTGTTAGTTCAGTTGGTTCATTAAACCTTCCTTACTTTTCTAGTTGTTAGAACTTTTACCAAGCTTTACAATCATTTTGCGCTTAAGTTGTTTTCTAGTTTCAAAATGTTGATTTCTCTTCTTAATCAACCTAGACGGTAAAAAATTTCTTGTACGTGATTATTTTTATAGGGGAAACTATATGATGGAAGAGAGATTGCAGTGAAGAAGCTATCTCATAGCTCAAATCAGGGTGAAAGGGAGTTTGAGAACGAGACTCGGTTGTTAGCTCGTGTGCATCACCGCAATGTTCTGAATAATGGCTATCCCTTGTTCCCATATGTAATGAGGTAAGGAGGAGGTAAGATAGTAGGCTGCCCCAACACCAGGTTGAGAGCAGCTTCCGTAGAAGACCTCCGAATTATGAAATGCCCTCCATGGGACTCGATCCCACGACCTCAAGGTTGTGAATCTTTTAGGTTATTGTGTTCATTGTTAGGAAAAGATTTTGGTATACGAGTTCATCACCGACGAGAGTTTAGACAAGCTTCTTTTCAATAAGTTTCCATAATTTCTTTGCGGTTATCAGCCTTTTAAAAACTATACGATCTTCGTGTTCATTGTCGACCCAGAGCAGTTTGTACCCTCATAAATTGATGAACCAAGTGTTCCATGTTTTCCAAACATTTAAACTTGCATATTATAGCTAACAGTGGTGTAAACAGATTGTACTGATCTGTCCACACACGTCTTAGCAAAACAGTGTGGTATAATGCAAGTATCGTCATTTTAATTGTAGTGAGCATATAATTACATAAATAAATTGTTAGAAAACAAGTAAATATGAATATTTTAATTTCTATTAATTGTTTTTTGTAAAAAAAAAATCGAATTTGGATCCGGATATTTGGATATCAGATCCAAAATTTCGGATATTTGAATTTTCAGATATCTGAAAATTCAGAGCGAATAATATCCGATATCCGATAATACACATCACTGCTTTCCTTCCCGGGACTTTGGTTATTTAATTGGAGAATTCAATCATTATTATTTTGACAGTAGTAATAATAATTCAATATAATGTAATTAGCAATCATAAAAGGCAGTACATTGTGTCAACACACATTTTCATCCTACTAGGATTCAAACTCCTAAAAATAGGATAAAATTTTGTTAGGATTCAAACTCCTAAAAATAGGATAGAGTTCTACTAAGATTTAAATTCCTAAAGATAGGATCCACAAGCACTATAAATAGTCATTGTAAATCACCATTATAACACACGATTTACACACAAAATATAGAGGAAAGCACGGGAAGATACAAAGGCAAAACTATTGTAAAGGATTCGAAAAGGAAATAAAAGGTAGCATTTTCTTTTTTCTTTCTTTTGTATGTGCACGTTATTTTTCTTGAGATTTGGTTCGAATAACCCAAAACGTGGGTTGCGCCGATGACCAAAATGGGTGGGGTTTCGAAGTTTCGAACCTAGATCTACCCCGAGGCTTATTTTTAAAAACCGGTTTGATTTTCGGTTAAAGGAGGGGAAGAGTTTTTTAAAAATCTATATTAGTCCCTTTATTTATTATATGGATATTTTATTCATTATTTTATTATTCATGTTATTATTATATGTATATATATATTAAATTATTTTCATTTATTTTTTTACTATATTTTATTATTATTATATATATATATATTTCTTTAATATTTTACTTATAAATCTAATATTACTATATATAATTATTACTTTACCATTTTTTTCTTATCTTACTTATTTATTTTATTTTCCCTTGTATCTTATTGTTTTCTTTACCTTGTTTATCTAACACATTTCTCGATTTTTTAAAGGATATTTTCAAATCAATCAAGGGTAAGTAATTAGGATCGAAACTTTACCTTTTAATTTAACTTGTTATTTTCTTAATTAAGACAACTGGAAATTACGTAGTACCGAAAGGGCGGTTCAAGGGTGCTAATCCTTCCTTGACCGTAACCGACTCCCGAGCCCGACATATTTCTGGTAAGACGCAGATCAGGTAAGAAATAGGGTATCCGATCAACCCATTTATTTTTAAATAAATGATCGGTGGCGACTCCAATCCACATTTTTCTAAGTCGAAGCCCAATTCCGGGGACTAACTGAAAGACGGTTGCGACAGCTTGGCGACTCCGCTGGGGACACAGGTAAGTGAGTCAGGCTAAGGTAATTTCCAGTTGTCTTTTTAACGAAAAGGGTAAGTTTAAATTTTAAGGTAACATTTCGATCCTTATTACTTACTTTTGATTATATTTTCGAGTAAATAGTTGTACTGACCGTTTTTTAATGATTTCAGCCCTTAAAGATTTTTCATCCAAAGGCTCTATACCCGAGCTCCGAACCCGTTTAAGTGGGGGTGAAAGCGACGCCTTCGTGTGAATTTATTCATCGTATGGGCCTAGCAAGTAACCTTCGGGATTCATATACCTTATGCCTTCATGTGAATTTATTCTCCGTATGGGCATAAGGGAATGTGTCCTCTCGAGTTTAACTTAGTCCACACAAGCCTGTGATGGGTTTAGGACTAAAGGTCTGGTAGGCCCAAGGAGGCACCAGCAAGGAGAACTCGGGTACCGTTTTTTAGAACCTAACCCAGGAGACTATGGAGAAATTAAGCCTACCCTGAAACCACATTCCAAAACCTATGACGTTTTTTAACCTTGTTGTTTTTATGTATTTTACTTATTTATTTTTATATTATTATTTTACTAACCTTTTTACCTTTGTGCTTGTTTTATAGCATTTTGCATCATAACAAGAGGTTACTGATCCCTGAAAAGGTGTTTATTACACAAAATAATCTGAATTAATGGACAAAGGTGTTGTAATACAAGAGACTAAGAACCCTGAGGTACGACTATGGTCCGAGAAGACTCAGAAAGAAAAGGGAGACAACCTTCAAGAAAGCTATGTGTCAGAGTTGGTTAGCTACGCATCTATCAGCCTAAAACAGAATAATGTGCAAGAGCTTCGAGATATCTGGGACAGTTGGAAGAATGATTGGAAACAGAAGTTCAGCCAACGGTACGGTGACATTGCACTTTTACTTCACGTTAGGATTGATGAGCCCTTGATTAGAGCCATGGTCCAATTCTGAAACCCGGGATACAGTTGTTTCACTTTTAACTGGGAGGACATGGTACCTACTATCGAAGAATACACCACACTGCTACACTGTGAAAACATCAAACTAGGGCGAGTCTACGTTAAGCACACCAAAAGTCAGCCTTTCAAGAGTACACTGGCCAGAGACGCAGCCATCCGAGACTTCCTAGATCAAGTACAGAAGGCAGCCCGTCATCTTCATGGCCTGGCAAGGGAAGCCGGAGTGGTTCGACAAGGTATTCAACCAGTAACGGATGAAGGCAGAAGACTTGTCAATCTACTAGAAGCTATTCGGGGTTTAGAGGATTTAATCCGAGTGTACCTTTGATTATTTTTATGTCTCTTACAAGATAAGATATTTTTGTCTGAATAAAGATTATTTATAATAATGAACACTTTTTCTGGATCAGTGCCTCTAAGCTGCATACATCATGCATTGCATATTTTGCATTCTATATCTCATGTTTATTTCTATATTTTTCATGTTTTTACATTCGTATTAACAAACAGAACATGTCTCAGAAAGCGAAAGAAAAAACACCAAGTCTACCACTATAGACATTAAATACGCATCATCCGCATAATACCCGAGCAAAGAAAAGACAAATGGAGGCCAGAATGGAAAAACTCGATGAGAACATGGCAAGACTACAAAAAGAACTGGAAGATAAGATGGCTCAAAACAGTTAGAGCACTCTGGAATCCATCAAGAAAAACCAGGAATCCTTGGTCGACCAAATAGTGGCCAAGTTATCATGTTTACAGCAAGTTAGTGCAGAAGGGGGAAGTCCCTTCGAAGGGGTAACCATCTGCCGTAAAGGTGCAAACTTCCAAAACTAATCCTGATAATCATCCGGATGATTACAGTATCCCGGATTTTAATGAAGATGACAAAGCGAAAAAGATGGAAGAGGAGATCAGGATGATAGAAGATCGAATGGAGATAGTCCAAGGGGACCATGATTATTATGGAGTGGACGCAAGGGAGCTAAGCCTGGTTCCAGATTTGGTGCTTCCACCAAAGTTTAAAGCTCCTGAGTTTGAGAAGTTCGATGGGAATAGCTGCCCATCAGCCCATATCACTATGTTCTGTCAGAAGATGACAGGATATGGAGGGAATGATCAACTCCTGATCCACTGCTTTCAGGAGAGCCTATCTGGTTCAACTATCCGCTGGTATAATCAGCTCAGCCAAACTCACATCAAGACATGGAAAGACTTAGCCAAGTCTTTCCTAGAACAATATAAGAATATCAACGATATGAGACCAGACCGGGTTATGCTGCAAAGCCTGGAAAAGAAGCATAATGAGAGTTTCCGACAATATGCGCAACGATGGAGGGATTTGTCTGTGCAGGTTCATCCACCCCTGGATGAAAAAAAAAACTAGAAAGTTGTTCGTACAAACCCTGAAGGCACCTTACTTCTGGTACCTGGTGGCAATTACATCGGGAACTTTCTCAGATCTAGTTATGGCTGGTGAGATGATCGAGCTAGCTATAAAACAAGGAAAAATTGAGGGAGATATCAACAATGTCAGTACCTACAACGCCAACAAAGGTGTTACGGTCTCAAGTCCAAAAACTGTTGCAGTTGTACCGTCTAGTACTTCTAAACAAACTCAGAGAGGACCAAGGAAAGAAAAGATTTGCATCAGTCCAATCCCAATGACATATGAGGAGTTACTCCCAACGCTAGTTGAGAAAAATCTTGTGACTCTAGTTCAATCCAAACCTAGAGAGGCCCCATATCCTGAAGGTCATGATATTAACGCCGTATACAGCTATCATATTGGGAGCTCAGGGCACACCACTGAGAATTGTGGGGCATTGAAACGTAAGGTCCAAGATCTGATCGATTCAAGGGCATTCACTTTCAATATGTAATGGGGCATTCTGATCGAGAGTCATATGGGGCATCCATTAGGAATTTTATTTCATTATCAAGTATATCATCTTGTTTGAACTTGTTTTTCTTTCGTACTTCTTATGCGTGAACATTTTAAGTCACTTGACGTTTAAACATTTTAAATAAAATGCTTCATTCTTAGGAGATGAGCAAATTTTAATCTTGAATTCCTTGAATATCACCTCAATTAAAAACTATTTAATAATTGAGGTTGTAAATCTTTGACAAATGACAAGATTGAACCCTGCAAAACAAAGACCCCTTGGTCCTAATTTAAAAGATACATCAGACTACATATTTTTCTCTTACCGAGCTAAGTTTTCTCTTCTCATTAAGAGTCCATCCAAGGTTTGGTATTCAGACACGTATTAAGAGCGAACAGAATAGGGCAACTAGCATATGAGATTGCAAAACTAATTGGTTTATACCCTTGTTTATGATGTTCAGGGATGATAATGATCTTCACAGATGGAATAGTCGAGTAAGCAAATCTAGTTTAGGTCAGTTGTTTG